GTGTCAAGATAGGGTAAAAGATGGGGTTCTAAAACTTCGTGGATATAACGCTGCGCGTTCATGTTACCTCTGATGAAGATTAAAGGTGACCTGGAACCATAAGCTATAGCACCCCAAACCATAACTCCAACAGTGTGATGAACATGTCTTTCAACAAAAAACTGTGGATTCCTCCTTCACCACGTCGCCTTCTAACCCTGGCACGACCATCGTGCATGCTTAAACAAAATCGAGACTCGTCACTAAATACAATACTGTTCCATTCCTGATTCCAGAGTGACCGTTGTCTGCACCACTCAAGGCGATTACGTCGGTGTTCTCGAGTTAAATGGAGGACCCAGTGTGGCCGGTATGAAAACAAGCCAAAACTTCTCATTCGTCGGTAAACACTTCGCATGCCAATAGGTCTTCCGTGTTCTGCAAACCATTCATTTGCAATGGACCTGGTAGTGGAGAAACGGTCCCTTAAGGCCAATAATCTTAGGCGGCGATCTTCACGGTCTGTTGTTCTACGGCGGCGTCCAGTGCCCCTTGCTCTTTGCGTACGGCCTTCTCGAAGCCATGCCTGACAACACCTAACCACAGTGTCTACACTTCTTTGCACTCTAACTGCAATTGCCCGAAAAGAAAGTCCAGCTTCCCGAAGTCCCACTATACGGCCCCTATCAAACTCACTAAGTTGAAGAAATCGTACAGGTCTCCGTACTCTAGGCATCGTAACCGATCGTAAAGGATGTCAAGAACCAAAATCCGCCAACGTTGATTGTTTACTGCGGCTGAAATATTCATTTTTAGAGCGTTAGTGAATTAAAAAAAAAACAGTATAAAAACCGGAATGTCCAACTGATAAGGCTGAAAATTGTTTCACTTGTTATTTACAGTAAGATAAATACATTCACCTGGGTGTTCGGATTTATTTGTCACTTAGTATATAAAGTGAGTGTTGGGGATAGGAAGTTAACAATGATTGAAGTTGTAGGCTTCAGTGAGGAATTGGATAAAGAAGAGCTGATTAGATACTTGAAAGAAAGAAACAATATTATAAGCAGTGATGGGACGATAAATGTAGTGGCAATTAAAAAGATGAAAAACAGATATAAGGATACAAAAAAATACAATCTGTATATTTATTACCGATCTTCAAGTTGAAGCTTCAATCGGTTTATTGAATTTTTTGAAAGTACACTATATGTGAAAAACATTAATACAGGAATTGCACAAATATACATTTAGGAGACTTCAGTATAAATTTTGACACTAAAGATTTCTGTTACGAAATTTAAACAAGTACTAAACTTCCATGGATTATGGCAGAAAATAAATGACTATACAAGGATTACGAACTTTTCTAAAACAAAAATATGATTTGCTCATAACTAATGAACAAAATCTAATTGCTGAAGTTAAGCATACCCTAAAGATAAGTGATCACTCATGGATATATTTCGTGGGAAATACGTTCAATGAAAATAAACTTTTACAACACAATATACCAGAAATGCCGACAACTAATTCGAACAAATTTTGAAGAATATGGATAAATATATTAGTGAAGCTATGGTCAAGAAAATAATATATGAAAGAGTGAACCGAACATCCTGGTTTTCACAGATATTCAAATCTAAATTAAAACGCGACAACGACTACAGAAAAGTTTCAGTAACCCAAAGTGGTAACAATATACAAAATCAAGAAATGAGTGTGTAGCAGTTCTCAGGATGGAAAGGAAAAATTATTATAAGAAGATCGATAGCAATAAAAATAATTCTAAAATGATGTGAAAACATTAAAGAATATTGTTTCTCCTAATAGAAAGATTGAATTATCTAAAATGCATTTCGAAGATGGGGTAGTGATTTTAATAGAAAATGAATTGAAGAAAAATATGTAACCGTATCATTATACAAAATTGACATTGTAGCATTAATGCTAAATAAATATTCAACAAAACAAAATTATGAGTTGTTACATTTTGCGACAGCGAGCGGTCGGAAAACGTAACAAGTACCATTACGTAACACAAATTATCACAGGCTGCGTGTACGCAGGTGAAAATCATTTCGAATCAGGGCGACACTTCCCAATGAGCGCTAGATGCGTACTGACCAAAATCGATCATGGACGTGGAAACCTTGCCTTGGAATGTGCGATATGATGCAATGTTGCAGAATTTGTGGCGGACCTGATCTGTCATTTCGACCTAAAATTGAGCGCCGTTAGGACCGATCTGGAATCGATCCTAAACAGATTCGACACAATTAAAAAATGTGTACGTTCAAAATAAAACCACTACTTGGGCGTAGATAGTAAACTAACGCATATTTTCAACATGCATCTTAATTCGAGGAACTCGTGTAATATACTGGCAACGCTACAGATTGCCGCGCCAGCGTTACTAGGCAACGAGGTGATGAGCTTCACCAACCGGCTTCTATCTCGTTCTCACATATATGTGTCTACAGGGTTATCCAAATTAAGTGTCCACCATTAGTAACTTTGTTATTAGTGAAAATACAAAGTTGTTTGAATTAGCAAACTAGTAGCATTTTTAACGCTGGTAAAAATGAGAAATAAAAAAAAAACAATTGAGAGTCGTTATTTTGATTTTTTTCAGTAAAATAACATTTTTTTAAATGGAAACCCCTGTATATTATATTTTTTTCTGTTAAAGCATCAAATTTTAAACAAAAAAGCTTACAATAACTTTTCTCCTAGGTTACAAATTGTTGAAGTTATGGCCTCCAATCTGAAACAATTAAATTGTATCGACAAACTTTATTTTCAACATCAACTTATAATCTTACAAAATACAATAACAATTTTTTTTAAAGAAGATGCTCGAAAACACAACCTTGTTCTTCAATACATTTTTGGGCACGTTTTTCAACTGCTCGAACTGTCTTAAGTATGGTCCTACCATCTATCTGGGTTATCTTTTCCCTAACTGCAGTCTTTAACGCGTCAAGGTTATCGTACCTTCGCTTGTAAATTTGGTTCTTTAAGTAACCCCACAAGAAGTAATCAAGTGGGTTTAGATCTGGTGATCTGGGAGGCCACTGTATTGGGCCATTTGTTCCTATCCACTGATCATTAAAAGTAGTACTTAGAAAGTACCTCTGGAGTTGTGGGCAGGTGCGCCATCTTGCTGAAAATGCAGATGATGTCTACTTATAAGATCCAATTCGTCTAAGAAATTAGTCAGAATTTCTGACATAAATTCCACATATCTTTCACCAGTTAGGGTTCCCTCATAAAAGAACGGGCCAACAATTTTTGAACCAATTATACCGCACCAAACGTTGAAACTGAAACGGACTTGTGGGCCTCTTGGATGTACTAACAAAAGATTTTCTCTTGACCAATAATGGTGGTTTTTTCTATTAAACATTCCAGAATTTGAAAAATTTGATTCATCTGTCCATAAAAGGTAACGAAAGTTATTTACATTTTGGCGACAGAAGCTAAGATACCAATGGCAAAAAACAAGTCTTCTCTCTGGATCCCCTGCCAAAAGCATTTGAACTGGTCGGTACTTATACGGAATAAATTTGTATTTTTTTAAAATCCTTTGAACAGTACCATAACTGAAATTAGAGTCCTTGAGAATATCTGCTATTGAATTCTCACGATAAGCTTCAAAATATCCAATAACTGCAATTTCCGTGGCCTCGCTTATTATGAATTCTTTTTTTGCCCTTGTTTTAGCAAAAACATTTTCGTTGCCCCTAAATTTTCGATAAAGTCTCAGAAAATATCGTTCATACGGTTGAATGCGAGCGGGATATAATTCACTGTAGTATTCTCTTGCTCTCGAGGAGGATTTTCTGCCCACTAAATAGCATTCTAACATATCATACTTTTCTTCATGGGAGAACATTTTTCTTTAAATTAATGACACAATAAAGCTTATAAACAAGTATTTACACTAATGTTTGACATTATTTGATTTTATCATTGTTTTCCAAAGCCTTCTAGTTGCGAGTATGTCCAGTTTAACAATTTGTCGCTTATCTTAATGCTGTCAAATCGCGAACGCCATGTTGTTTTCATAGCCGTCTTAATATTATAATACTGCAAATAATTAAAAATATTTATCGTTATTTTGACTTTATTTTTGACTTTAGCGGAAAAGTCATTATGAACTTTTTGTTTAAAATTTGATGCTTTAACAGAAAAAAATATAATATACAGGGGTTTCCATTTAAAAAAATGTTATTTTACTGAAAAAAATCAAAATAACGACTCTCAATTGTTTTTTTTTTATTTCTCATTTTTACCAGCGTTAAAAATGCTACTAGTTTGCTAATTCAAACAACTTTGTATTTTCACTAATAACAAAGTTACTAATGGTGGACACTTAATTTGGATAACCCTGTATACAGACTTCTGTCTCGTACAACGCTGTCACTTTGGTAGGCAGTGGTAGTCAAATGAGTCAAAAGTATGCACTAAAATTACGCAATTTTGGCGAAAAACAATGCTTGTCTCCTAATCTATTTGAATTCGTTGGTTTAGAGAATATCAACTACATCCCTAAATGAAAAATTGCAATACTGTGTAGTAGCAGCAAAAACAAACTGTCACCTAGAAAACAGATAAATCAATATGTCACTGTCACTCTGTACCTTTTGAATAAAAAAATCATAGTCCTTGGGAGAGTTTGGAAAAAATTCTGCTCTAATTTATGTAGGGGTCGGGGTGTTCCAAATTTCATTCAAATCGGACTATCGCTTCTTACGATATCCTAAAAATGTATTTTAAAAAGAAAACAACGCGCTCTAACGGACAAACGAAGTACTTTTGCATAGAGGTGAATTGACTGATTTTGAGTCTAAAAATACGTGGTACATCTACGTTCACGGAAAATTGGGACACCCTTCATACAAAACTGAACAATCAATTAACCTGTTTCATTAATGATAATCTGGATCCCCTTTTGAGGATAATCCTAATACATGGATCAGTTTATCTATCCAAGGCTTAATACATTATTTACTAACCTTTTCATTAATAATACAGTCTAGATCCTCTTGTGAAGGTGATCCTAATACTCCTAATATATGGTTCAGTTGATCTAGGTAATGCTTTCCTGGGAAGATCGGTCTATTGGCTAACATTTCTGCTAGAATACATCCCACCGACCAGATGTCTATTGATTTTGTGTAGCCCTAAGCAGAAAAAAGCAATTAGCTGAGAAATATACAGAGTGACAAAAAAGGTAAACACCTACGTATGTTTATCCGATTTTGATAATTTTTGGCATATACAGGGTGACAGGTAAATAGGTGTAAAACATTTCAGGAGGTGATAGTACAGCTCCTTTGCTATCAAAATTAGTATATAATACCATACCCTATATTCAAAGGTTAAAAAGTTATGGAAGATTTAATTTTTTTTAAAAAACAACCCGGATTACAGAGTAAAATATTTGAGATAAAAAAAGTTGGTGATTAAACATTCTTTTTTTGGTGGTTTCAGGTTATTATTTAAATAAAAAAAACATATGAAAACACTACTGAAAACTTATTTATTTTCATTTAAATGTTAAATGAAAATTTTTATTTTCAACTTTCACATTAAGAAGTCTTTTTTTTTCAAAAAAATCATAATAAAGAAAATGTACAAATAACTGCAAAAACTTCCTCGTTTCATTAGGTTTCTAAAATGGTATAATAACATATCAGTAAGTAAACCATTTAACAAAACAATATTACTTTGCTAGAAAGGACCGCTAAGCGCATCTCATTGCACTGAGCAGCTAAACCGAGCCTTTCATGGTTCAACCCTTTTTGTTATTTTTTGTGCCCTGTGCCGTTATTCGGGTTTAAGTATTCGGAATCTGTCGTCGCTCCTCGGAAGCAAGCTATGCGTGTGTTATGAATTGACACAGCTGACGGATCAAGGAAAGGGATCTAATGCTTAGGTTAGTTAGTAGAATATCAACCTTTAACGCGGTAGGACGTACTTTTACTTTTTTGATCAGTTTTAATAATGGCGAGTTACCGTAACGAAGAATTCGCTGATATAGTATTCTGTTTTGTTATGGTTTAAGTGATGGAAATTCCGTTGAAGCCAGGCGAGAACACGAAAACCGTTTTCCGAATCGGCGAATACCGAGTCATCGAGTATTTGCTTCTGTGTACCAACGCGTCAAGGAAAGTGGACAGGTTCATGAGAGACATCATGATGCTGGTAAACCTCGGTTGTTTGATGACGAAGATCGACAGGCAATACTGGAATGCTACGGCAGAGACCCGACGACGTCTACACGAGTTATAGCAAAGCAGCTTGGTTTAACTCAGTGGAAAGTTTGGTTCGTTTTGCATTCGGCGAGACTTTACCCTTTCCTTTACACACCGGTTCAAGTATTAGAAGAAGGAGATCCCGCAAGAAGAATTGATTTTAGTCGATACATGCTTCATCGGGATCAAGAAGAAAACGACTATTTAACTAAAATATTGTGGACCGACGAGTCTAAGTTTGACAGAGAGGGGACAACAAATTATCACAACTTACATTATTGGGCCCCACGAGAGGCAAATCCCCACATGGCAAAGACAAGAGCCCATCAAAGAAGATTTTCGGCAAACGTGTGGATCGGAATCATTCATACGTATCTAATTGGACCAGTTTTTTTGCCTGACAACCTGAATGGCGAATCCTATGAGAACTTTTTGAGATCCGAACTCTGGGAGTATCTCGAAGACCTGCCTCTGAATATCAGGATGCAGATGATCTACCAACACGAAAGCTGTCCCGCGCATTTCCGTCTGGGTGTTAGACAGTGGCTGGACGAGAAATATCCTTGTCGCTGGATTGGCCGAGGTGGACCGACACCGTGGCCAGCGAGGAGCCCAGATTTAACACCGTGTGACTATTATTTATGGGGGCACATGAAGACACTGGTGTACGCTGAGCCCATAGACACTCTTGCACAGTTGAAAGAAAGAATTATTGCTAGTGCTGACACTATCAGAGGACAACTACAGTATATTCAGATAAGAGATAGACCGGACATAAACAAGACCACGTGATCATCAAACGCTGTAACATTCGGCAGGGACGTATTAAGAGTCACGCAGTACATATTTTAGATAGTAGATGCTGCTTTGCGTAACTTTGTAGTAAATTAGCACAATTCGATGTGTATACGATTGGTGATGGATATAGGATCATGTGGGGGTGGGGTAAGAAATATATAATGATGTAAATATACATAAGGGTTTCAAAATTTTCGCTTCGATTTCAAGCTTCGGATGCCGCCTGATGTTTGGTGAAATACAGTCGAATATAATCTCAAAATGGCGTTTAAATTAGCCTAAATTAAAAATAATCGTGTATCTCTTAAAATTGCTTTTAGAATATTTTCTTTTATTTCTAGGTAAATATGTAACCAAATTAAAACGTTCAAAACGTAAAAAATGTGCATGGTTGAACATTGTCAGAAAGTAGATTCTTGAATAGGTTTTGCCAAAATGTGTTAAAAAATGTCAATAATTAATTAAAAAATACAGTAGCTTTAACTTATAACTTACCGAATTTGATGAACGACATCTTTTATTGGAAAGATGAGCTTGATGAGCTTTCATCATCGCTACTGCCTGAAGCACCAACGTCAATAATGAATGGCTCGACTTGTTCCTCTAAAATATTGTCCAGTTCCCACATTCTCTTTTCAACTTTGTCTTTCACGTGCTTAATACAGTTTTCCCATTTTTGCGCTGTTATTAATTCTAGTGCTTCTTTGAAAAGTCCTTTGAGGTCACAAAATTTAAAAGTTGTATTGTGCTTAGCTATATAATTTTTAACCTCTGCCCATATGAGCTCAATGGGATTGAGCTCGCAATGGTATGGAGGTAAACGGAGCACAGTTTTATTTTGACTTGCTGCCATTTCGTCAATGGCGTATTTTTTGATATTCCGCCTTGTGATCCTTGACAATTCTTAATAATTGTACTTTCAGCATTGCTTCTTCAAAGTTGATATTTTTCGAGCGGAGCCAATTTTGAACATCAACTTTCCTTGAAGCCGTTGTTGGGACCTTCTCCATTCTTCGAGAATGATAAGGCGCATTATCCAACACAATTACTGCGTTTTCCTCTAAGTTCGGTAAAATTTTTGAAAACCACTGTTCAAACGATTCGCCATTCATTTCCTCTTGGTAATCTCCAGTTTTCTTAGACTCAAAGCACCACAGACCGTCAACAACAAATCCATCCTCACTGCCAATATGGCAGATAATGAGCCTTTTCCCTTTACCTGGAAATCGAAGTACTAACTGGTGTAGTGTAGATTTATTTCAATAAGCGAACCTTTTTCAAATGTTTTCATCACATTCAGCGAAAAACATTGAGACATGAGTATCAGATTGCTATAATTGGGATTATTTAGTTATATTGAAAGAAAGAATATTGAACGTCGTATGATTACTCAGCGCTTCATAATTTAATTTAAAGTTATAAACCTTTAAAAAATGAATGATCAGGAACCTGAAATACGCGCAAATATTAATATTAACAAATTATAACTTTATAAAGCTTAAAGTATGAATTAAAATGATTAGAAATATAAATACAATATAAAACTTAGTAACTTTTTTTAAGTTTATAATATTCGACATATTTTAAGATTATATTAAAAAATTATTGAAATATCGAAAACACATAAAAACATGGCTTAAAAACATCCACGCATTTTATCGAAAGTTATAAAAGTTTTGTTACTTGTAATATGTTTTATCTGCCCCCTGGAATTAATGTTTAGAACCTTGTTCCCAAGGTTTGAAAAACATCCGATTGTTGTCTATTACTCGTATTTACCTGCTGGATTTTTTAATCCGGTGGACAGTCCATCTAGAAAGGCCCTCCTGGATGAAGTTACAGAATCATCAACCCATACTTTACTTGTAGTGTGTCCTGCGTTTACCCACGTTTCATCAAGGTAATAAATCTTCCTGTTTTGATTTCTATATTTCCCAATTTTTGTTAAATAATCCCTCCTCCATAGCACAATTTCTTCTCTATCCAGTAGTAAACTATTACGATCCCGTTTTTTCCATTTGAAATTTAAATGCTTCAGTAACGCATGGAAAGTTGATCGTTTGAAATTTGGCAACGTTGTATCTCCATTTACCTCCCGCAGTACTTTATCTATAGTAGATATTTCATTCCTAAAGAAGAATTCATGCACTTTCCTCCTAATCGCATGCTTATCAGCTTCATCCAATGATTTAACAATACTTTTGCGATGTTTACTGGTCATTGGCTCAGAAAAGGTGTGATTTTTTTTGTATTGTCTTAACACATTAAACACTGATGCGCGACACACCCCAACTTTGTGAGAAACCTTCACAACAATTTCTTTGATGGTTGATGCCTCGTTCTCCTCGCGCTCGATCTTATATATATTCAAAATGACCTCTTTCATTTCTGCACTCAGGTGTCTTTTTTTAGAGCGTTTCCTAGGTGGACTACAGGAGTTTACAACTTCATCGGCAGTATCTGTACTACTGGGCATTTTGCGCAAGCAGTTGATAACAATAACAATCAATAACGAGGTATAACAATAACAACGACAAACTCAACAACTTAATAAGATAACAAACGAAAACGTCCAAAGAAATATCAAATTGCCATGATGCACACGACATACGTAACACGTCTGAACCTGAATGTGACTCTGCCTTGATACGACTGCTCTGCCGCTCGGCACAGGCATTTAATTGCGAATTGACCAATGAGGGCTCCTGTTTTACGTCGAGACGGCGGCGTTAGCGTGAAAATCACCCGAACCTTTTGTTTACATCCGGTCTATCTCTTATCTGAATATACTGTAACTGGCCGCATCACGCGTACCAACATGAGAAAAACACTACGGGCTTCATTTCATTATTGCATTTTACTTACCAATTGTGGTAACTTTTAGTCAGGTTTTATTATTCTGTAGTACAATTACAACTGTGTAAATAATCTAATCGTGTGTACAGTTACATTATTGCTAGTGTTTATTTATGTTTAGTTTCACACAGTTTTTGTGCACTTATCATACTTAGATTCCTTATGAAACAAGGATATTATTTAAATTGTTTGTACGTTTTTTTGTATACTGATTTTTTTGT